TGTGTTTGGGTGTGCACTAATGGGTGTTGAGGCTGTGGTGGATGCTGCTGCTGCGGTGGGGGTGTCAGGGCTGAGTGGTCAACTGAATGCTGGCTGTGATGCCGATGACTGTGGGAAGCATGCGGCAGTGTGGCCCCTCTGGATGCCTCCATTCTCATCTGCTAGAACAAGATTGTGTGAGCTCATTAAAGTAAATGACACAACAAATCCATTTTTCAAAACCTGTATAACAAGCTTTGGAAGTTCTTTAAGCTGATGCCGTACCTTGGAGTTTTCCTCGATCTGGGTACCTCTCTTCCAGGCCTCAGAGAAAATGGAGCTCACAACACTCTGGGACCGGCCATGAGAGGAGCCTGTGTCCACCCCACTGTCTGAGTGGCCTGAATGATTAGAATGGGACTCTGAAAACACACACAAATGACACTATGCCTTTCTGAGACAAGTACAGTTTTAGAACGGCAAAGTATGATGGATGAAATGTATGAAAAGGCAAGGTATTAACCAACTATCAAGACAGATTATTTATGAAGTATATATATCCATGCATCGACATAACTGTTCCATTATGTGGTTGGTAATGACAACAACAGTCTTTACCACAGATTTCTTCAAACACATGGGCTGTCACAGCAACTTTGGAAAAAAAGGAAAACTAAATTCTAGACTCGAAGTGGTTATTTTAACAGGTTATCTCCAGATTTGAATGGCATACTGACAATGAGGTGTACACTAGACATGATGATGATGCCAGGGCATCCTTGTAAAAGCGGTTTCTAACCTCACAGGAATTCCCCTGGTTAGATATCAGTGAAATCAATAAAAAAATAAAAAAATAAAAAATGATGATGCATGCTTGATTCCACATCAGCATCTTTCTCAGCCCAGGCACTAACCAGGTATGCTGGCAGAGCTGGAGCCGGAGCGGATGCTGGAGGTAGAGAGAGAGGACCAATCGTAGGCTGCCTCTGTCCTCTTCATGGCTTCCTGATAGTTCACATATAGCTGCTTCCCATACTACACAGAAACACACAGTGACATAAAGTGAATTAAGATATTTTCTCTAATTGGTGCCCGAGAGCTGTTTTTGGTTATTTTTGCTGACTACTTTAATAACAGCAGGACGTCAGATTTAGTCCAACCTTGGCGATGCGAATTCCGTTCACCCATTGGTGCAGGGTCCTGACATCATCACAGCACAGATACTTAATGTACTGTGACTTCTTCTGGATTTGTGGATGCTGCAAAAAGAAATAAATATGTATTTAGTATCAAACTATGTCTCACCTGTCCAGTGCAATGTGACTAAATCTTCCTCATAATGAAAAGATTACTATATGATATATAATTTTTATCCACTTCCTACTTCCTACCGCCATTACTTATTTAGTATTTTCATAAAAAAGGTCACAGAAAACAATTTTTTCCCCATTCAGTGGAAGATACAGTGCTAGGCCTTCACCTTCAGGGCTAGGCAGTAGTCAGTGGGAGACTTGTATTTGCTGCGGTAGTCCTGGCCGTAATACACATTGACATGGTCCAACTGCAGGAAGCACACGAGATCTCTGGACGCCTGCATGGAAGGAGATACAGGAGACAACAGGATGGAGTGATGCATGGCTGACTTACTAAAACACCAAGGTTGAGTTAAGCTGCTGTCCATGAGGCCTGAATAACCTGAAGGCCTATTTGGTTCCATACATTCAAGCAGATCAAGCCATTTAAGTGCTCCAAATACTCAGCATTTCAGAAACTGTTTGAATTTCTCCCCTAACGTTTTTTGTTGTTGATGTATAGAAAGATGCAGAGCACAGTCTATATTACAAATGAATGCTCATGCTGTTTCTGTGCTGGAGTGGAGTTGCACTAAATTGAATTTAAATAGTTCAGCAAGTTTGATACATATTTTTTTAAAGGTAAGTGCGGAGAACAAAATTAATAGTAATAATGAAGCACTCTGCATTTGTACAGTGCTTTATTCAGGGCGTGAGCTGGCACTATGATGCATTATAGTGCTGATGTGGTGTCACTGAAGACAAGTGCAAAAAGTTAGTCTGAAAATGACTTTGGAGGATGATAGTGCTAAAAATGGAGCACATGTGCACAGCAAAACTTCCCAGACTGAGAAAGCACATGTGCTGTTTCTGTTGTCTTCAAAGTGATGAGGCCCAAAACAGGAAATACCACAGAGCAGACTGTGTGAATCTGGTTTTCATAACCCCAAGCCACATTTTTGTTCTCCAGCTTCACTGTGCCCATAGGTCTCCATCTCATGTGTCACTGACCTTGGCTTTGCCTTTTGGGATGTAGTAGATCCCTGAAGCCCTGAGGAGGAAGTAACGCTTCTTCCACGACTTCTTACCATCCTCTTTGAGCCACAGGACACCTTCAATCTCTGGCACAGACACCGTGCCACCGCAGAAACACTCCTGGTTAGTCACACAAAAACTGATGTTAAAGTTGACCTCATCCTCCTGATCAGCAGAAATGGGAGGAAAGTCTGTAGTTTTGTCCTCAGATAATCTCACCTCTAGTAATGCCTCTTTATTTCTGTCAGCCATTTCTGAGGTCTCCTTCCGCCCCAACAAATAATTCTGGAAATGAACAAACAGAAGTGAACAGAAGACAGGAAATCGCTTTCTGACCTCGGCTTATGTTAAATAAATTATTCAACTTTACTCACTTTGGAGCTTTGACCTACTTCCAGCTCTCCTACACAAACACATTATCGTGCTCTGTGGTTTGTGCAGACACTGAGCACATACAGTATAAACTATGTGTTTGTGTGTATGCTTTCAGCATTTACACGCAGAGCGGCTATGTTGGGTACTGAGAAGAGGAGCTGTCTTCACTCGTGTCATTCTACACTCACCTGAGGGTTCTTGAAAAGAGCATATTTCTCGATGCGTTCGATGAACATAAGCTTGTTGTGGCTGTCCCGGGTCCAGTTTAATAGATTTTCCACCAAGTTCTCATGATCCTCAAAAATACGCTCTAAGAGAAAGACAGAGAGAAAAGAGGAATGAAAATGACATGCAGGATTTGCAGTTTTTTTGCTGACCTGCAAATGTGCACTTAATTTCCTCCCTCAGGGATTTCTGTTATTTAGGTGGGGAAAAACAACCGTAAATCTTCAACTAGCCTGAAGTCACAAACACTGACAATTCTTAGATCACAGATAGTTCTAATATAGCACATTTGTCACCCACACTGTTTACTTTGTGCACTGCGCCATGTGCAAACCTCCCCCTCATCGATATGCCAACAGTGCAGATTCATGCCAGCTATAAACAGTTTCTACTGTTTGACCCAGGGGCGGTTGGGACTATCTGTGAATCTTTTCTTACCCATCTGTAGTTCAGTGATGGTTTCCACTAGAGACCAGTCAGGGCTGTAGCCACAGTGCGACTTATCCAGCAGGCTGTCCAGCACCTGCCTGACTGTCTGCCGCTCATCCACCATCATGGTCTTGGAGCTCTCGTCTGACATGTGGACCCTAATCACCAGCTGAGGAAAATAAAGTTTTTAAAAAAGATTTCCAAAAGTTAGGCCAATAAAGATTGTGTTATTTAAATCAATCTCTCTTTAGAAAGTATGTAGGTTTCTCAAAATTGATCAAAATTGTCCATACCAAGCAGCCTTAAACTAAGCTGTACATGTAAGACGCACGTGCCAAATTCAGCCTCACACAATCATAACCTACATAAGAGCTGTCCTTGTATGAAAACAAATGAAGCCCTCAGTTCTTTGACCTCCTGTTTGTCTCTTCACAATAGCACCCTGACATCTGAGCATGTGGGTACTGGATAGAGGCTTGGATGAATGAGAAAGCTGGGATAGATGTGAGACTCAGACATGGGTCTGAGCTACAGTCTGACCTATATTTCTCACAGGGAGACCCCTGAAAGATCTTAGTGTGGCAGAAAAAAAAACCCAAAACAAAGAACAGTAATACAATAAGTTGTGAGGCTTAGCTGGCTATGGAAAACACTGACAATCACAGCACTAATACAACAGCAAATCACAGTGTTCTCCAGCATTGGCCAAGGCTTTTTTATGTGCAGTCTGTACCAGCACGTTTTATCCTGTCATTCTGTATTCACTTGGCAGACTGAAGTCTACCCCTGTTTGGTGAAACACTGCTGGGTCTCAACTATTCATTTCATGTAAAAGGACACCACTTTACTAAATGGCACTGTGATTCAGAGAGACAGTCCATTCACTGGTGGAAACATTGGTAAAAATAGCTTGTCGTGGCTTTCAAGTTGTCACAAAAAAATCTGCACTTGTTTGGTTAGACAGTGTAAATGCTATGTTTGTGTTGCTATCTTTTTCGGAAGCCTCTGATTTCTTGCTCCCTCCCCAGCAGACAGACACATACACATAATCAAACACTGCAATGACCTATTTTCTCTGCACTTCACTGCCTCGCTGTGAATGAAGTTCACAAAGAAATGCAGCATGCAGTGAATACAACAAGAGAGGAATTATTATCAGTCAGAATAGCTTTTTAAAAGACACAGTGTTAGTAAGTGAGAGTGTACGTACAAAGGACAGAGGTGGTCGTACCTTTTTGACCTGTGCCTCCTTGATTTTTTCCAGGGCAACTCGGATCTTCTCTGCCTTCAATTTGGCAGCTTGTTCCTCCTATATGGACACACGAAAGCAGGGTTAATACAGTTCCCTCAGAACTAAAACCAGGTTTTGATTCATAAATGCTCTTCTTCTGTTACTCCTCTGGCAGGAACACAACATCAAACACACACACACACACACACACACACACACACACAACACACACCTTAAATAAAGAATAAGTAGCCTTCTAAACCATTTAAATGCCTCAGGGTATGATGGCGCATGGTTTCAAAACAAAATCTAATTTTCCTTTGGGTTACTTACCTGCCCCCGCCAGCAAGACGTCATCACCTCCATCCGCAGGTTGTGTTCCACGTGTGTACGTGGATGTATTTTGTGAATATTTGATCAGATACAAATAAACGCTGTGATGCCAAATCACTGGTCTGATGTTCCCTCAAATATAGTGCTCCATTTGCTGTCTATGGTTCCATACAAGGATTCATATGAATCTGCAGTGGTTTCCTTTGATCTTGCTATACAGCAGAAGGGAAACAATAGTAGAAGGTCCCCAAAGGGCACGAGGATGAGTGTAAGATAGGATCAGAAAGCTTATTTGCTCCTGACTCAGAGATACACTGAACTCCTAGAAAGATAATATTTAAAGAGGGTGAAAAATTAAGAAAATATCCTGCTGTGTCCATCACAGATAAAGAAAAAGATGACAACTGTTCCTCTGTAAGCTGATACTGCAAGACTGAAGCAGAAAAAAACAAAAAAAATCTAAAAATTTTGTTTTGTCCGCATGTTTCACAGCATGTAAAGTTATTCCACCATGATCCTCAGTAGGTTAAATTCAACCAAGCATCCACATCTTCCATCATTCAAAGACAACAGCGGTCAGGCTAGCTGAGACTGCGCTGAACAGAGACTCTGTGCCACCGTAGGTTCACTGACACACAGACATGTGTGCCCAAGATGAGCACAACCTGACTAAAACCCTAAGTGAGACAGTGGGGAAGATGATGCCCCTCCCCCTTCTTGTTTCCTCCCCCTCTATCTCACTCCTTCTCCATCACTCCCTTCCTCTCTCTCTCTCGCTCGCTCTCTAGAATAGATGCAGGGTCTTGGGAGCATGCCAAATCAATAGAGCATAATCCCCATAAAAATAGTAAAAAGGCACTTCAGCCAATCACTGAGCCCCATTTGCAAGAGCCTGTACCCTTCAGGCAATCAGGACAATGGGGGAGACTGTGACCAACACTGCCCCCCCCAAACTACAGTGACAAGAATGGAGAGTGGAACATGGGTAAATGAAGTGCTGAGGTGTTGAACAGTTGTTGTGTGTGTATGAACAGGCATGTGTGTTAAAAGAGACGGGGTGAGGGGTTATTAACTCCCCAAACCTCTCATCTCAAGAACACACCTGACCCCTCCTCCTTGACCCAGACTATATTTTCCACGTGACCAACTCCTGGTCACGTCTGCATTAATGTAATAAAGTCAACAAAGGTTTGGCCAATACATAGTGGCAGGCTTTTAGTCAGCCACGTGTGAGTGTGTGTGAGTGTGTAAGGAAAAGATGCGGCAACAGAAATGAGGTCACAGGGGGCTGCGCACATTGTAGGTTTAGCCCCAGAAAGGTTAGAGTAACCCCCTCGCTCTACCCTCCATTATTCCCCCTCCACATGACCACCTACACCCTGCTTTTTATTAGACATTAGTCTGATTCCTATTCTACACCCATTTTCTCTTTTACTTTCACACTGAGCCACACCAGAGCCAATTTTAAAAGGCTCTTCTAACTAGTCTGGAAAAAAAATCTTTGCACCCTCTCCCTTTCATGTCTTCCCACTCTCTCTCTCTCCTCCCCTGTTCCCAAACATCCTATGCTTAGTCAACAGTCTGACCTGGGAGCGAGGAGAGGGAGAGAATTTATGTGCTGAGCCGATGGTGGCTCGCCCTTTCCCATTCTGTGGTGGAAAGTGTAACACTAACACATAAAGTCCCTGACAGCGTGTACGTCCCAGGCTTTGTAAAAATTATTCAGTTGCTTTCTGCATACACAAAGAGTTTAGAAGCCAGTGACCAACAGACTTGAAACACTGAACGGATTTCATTTTTTGTAATACAAAGAGAAAGATGAATTAACTTCCCCTGCAATATTGTGGTTGTGACATTTGAGGGAAGATGAATGTGTGAATATTAGTGCAAGAGACCACCCAGCTTCACCACTAAACATTGTTTCCATTTAGAAAGAATTTACTGCTGACAACCACTAATGGAGGTTTGCAGTTTGCCTTTATAGGAATAGTCCTTTGTTGTCTTTACAAGAATGGAGCCTTTTAAAGTCCTTAAAATGATTAACTCTTTCTCTGGAGTTGTCTAGAGCCATGGAGGAATGCTTATCCAAGTCAGAATCATTTCTGGTTTGTCTCATATTCAATAACATCTTGTCCATTATTAAAGCTCAATAGGATGTAGGGAATTCTTGGCTACGTGTTGTGTAGTGATGATGGGATAAATCACAATCAACACCGGCCAACTTTAAACCACAAATCTGCACACATCTGATCTGCATAAGCTTTGCACAGAAGGCTGCGACCAACACATGTGCTGGGAATCCGACTGCCGCTCAAGGCGTTTACACTAAACCAAAGTGTTGTGAACCTTTGAGGACCAAACACATGATAGATAAACAGATACTACATAGGAAAACAGTGGAAAACACAAGATTGACCATTGTTACATTCATCCATATACATTTAATGCATGTACAGTAAGAGAAAGCATTATGTACTTAAACATTAAACTCATATAATGCATGTACAGTAAGAGAAAACAAATGCATTATGTACTTAAACATTAAACTCATGACTTTGAGAATCTGAGATAACATACTGATCTGCAAGTAATGATTATTTTAACTACTGCTTAAGTGTTTAGTCAATATAATGCCATGAGGAAAAGGTTTTAACTCAAGGTCTTCAGAAGGAGCAAACTCCATCTACTGAGAAAGGCAGAGGCTTTGACGACCTCACATTAGCATGTTTTTGATAAAACTACTGTTTCCACAGCTACTTACACTCTGAACCTTGTCTTTCTGTGTCTGACCAAGCAGTTCAAAAATATTTAATCTGAGATATAAAACATAGAAAAGCACTAAATTGTCACTTCAGAGAAGCTGGAACCACAGAAACTGACAGCTTTCTTGACTGACACAACTTAATTTCCTTTTCTGTCAACTGACATCAATTAATCAAGTAGGAACTGCAGCTCTAATAACAGCAAATCATACTTTGTTAATGAAGAGAATGCAAATCAAAAACCAGCTTCAGGGAGAAAAAGATCAACACATGCCAGTGAAAGATAAATGTGGAAGCACATAGGGAAAAAAATCAAGTGTACTCAGGTGTGTGGAGGAAAAATCCATTCTGATAGTCTTTCCTTGTTAGACATAAGATTTCATTTTTATTACTTGCACTTTTGTTTTTCAACTTATTCCTCTTTGTATGCACATTCTTACATTTACTGCATGTAAGAATACTATTCGACAGCCCTCAGAGAAAAGAGGGATCTTTTTAAAACTGAGTAAATAAATCAATTGGTCTAATTGTAAGACGCTGGTTTTCAAGTGTTATCAAGATGGATTTTTCCCATGAAAAGACATGCAAAGCAGAGAAGAGGAGCAGTGTGCACACACAAAAGGGGAAAAACGAAAGGAGTGAGTGTATGAGGAAGTCACCTTGGTCAGGAGGTGAGAAGGCTTTCCAGCTATGCTTTTCAGAATGAGCGAGGTTTCTTGGTCCAGATAGGAATGCTTGGGTGAACAGAGGAGAGGGGATAAAAAAAGGGAGCAGAGGAACAGACATAATATAGAGAGATCAGTGCCACACGACTGTCGGGGGCTTATTAATTGCAGGTGATTTGATCTATTTTTTTATATAAAGAAGAGTGGAAGCGAGAGAAGGTTCCATAAATGGAGGAGCACTCAGCAGTTGCAGTTGTCATTAGCTGCAGCTGTGGGTAAAGAAGCAATGATTGTGAGTAGTACTACTGGACAGACGGAGCAAACATGACTGAGTGTGTGAATGCATAGGTTACTGTGCATTCTGTCTAGCTACAATCTCTGTTTCATACACACACACACACACACACACACACACACACACACCCACACACACACACACACAGACCATACATGTACATTACACACGAACCAAAAGCTTCAGATTACTGCTAAAACATTGGTTCTGACATACAGGATACAACTTTAAAAAGTCAGTTTCAAATAGTGTACAGTATATGCATGATGGTATCAAGTAAACTGTCATTATGTGATTATACCCTAAATCATTAACCGTGCAGCCTTATATGGGCAAATGCCTATAGGCATGCATGCACACATCCAAGCTCACATCCATGCACTTACAGTGGCCTGATCCACTTCACCCTCTTGTGAGGTGAAGTCAAGCTGCCGTCTGGCTGACTTGCCATTGGCCCGTCGCAGTGTGACATGCTGGGAAAATCAGGAGTTGCAGGCAAGGTGTGTGTGGATAGAGATCACAGATATAGCAAATGGTGCAAACACAGATAGCATAAGGGGGATAGGGGACATGCAGGATCATTTGTTAATATGCAAACCTGATTCTTCTGAACTGTCACTGAAAACATACATTTTTATTTATGTACAGTATCTGTTTAGGACTTTGGGAGGCATTTTGCTTCTGTTAGAGAGCCAACATGTTTGGTGAGTGAACAAGGAAATTCAGAAATAGTAGAAGTTTACATTGTAAAGTCACACTTAGGTCATTAATAAGAGATTATTATTATTGTATTCTTGTACAAACTATCTAATGCACCATACATGGTTGGATTGTGGACTGGCTCTCAGTCCACTTCAGGCATGCAGTTTCTTCTAAATGTCATGCTGTGTGGTTAAACATGCAGGATCAGAGCGGGACTGAGGCCACTTCAGTGTGTTCAGGATTTAGAATTTCTATGAAAATCAAATAACTACTGGTGAGCAACAGCTCATCAGTATTGCAAGTCTTCAGTAACTAAAGAAAACCTGAATTGACCCCAAACCTTATTAAGGCAGATTTCACTTACCAGTGCACATGGAAATGTATGTCTTTGACACTATGACTCTCACACACACGCTCTTGTTAACTGATTATACTATATACACCTCTTAAGTATCCTTGGTGTGTGTATTTCAGTGACATACCTCTGTGCTGGTCTGGTTTTGCCCTTGTGTGCTCGAGCTGCTCTGGCCCTCCACCTCTCCTCCTGTCGTCACTTTATCAATGTCCAGGGAGTCCATGCTGGACGCTGAGGCACATGCTGAATTTACACTGGACCGCTGCGATGCAGCTTCCTGCTCACTGACCGCACCCACAGAACCTGTCCTCCGGTGCTGCCCACCGCTGGACGAGCCTGACAAGGGCCGTCGAAGTGTGGTGGAGGAGAAAGAGGATGATGAGGAAGAGGATGATGAGGAAGAGGAGGAGGTCTGGCGAGCTGCTTCATCCATACTGAGAGAGGCTTTCTCCAGCTGAGAGGTGATGTCATCCAGGGAGATGTTGGAGGCCACAGGGCGGGCAGTGACGCTGGCGCTTCGTATGGTGTTGGCTGGCGATGCCCGGGCACTGCTACTGGTGCTTCCTATTGGGGAGTTCAAAGTTTAAGTACAGCTCAGATGGAGGAGCAAATCATCTCTACATCCACTCCATTTTAAAGAACATGTGGCCCATTTCCCATTTTCTTGATGCAGACAGGATGCTGCTAATTGTCCCCCTTTCTTCCTCTATATTACTGCCCTGCATGTGTGTGTTTAGTCTTTACTGAAGCAGACAAAAACGTTTTCCACCATCAGTCATTCACCTTATTCCATTTGTGCCAGGAGAAGAGGGACACCTTCCTGTTTTACTCTATAAAGCTTTCCTCTTTTGTATTGTATGACAACTCCAAACATTACATAGACCCAACAAAGTGGGATGTCAAATGCAACATGGACTATGGCACACAGCCTTAGGTGCAAAAGAACTGATACAGTAATTAGTCTACCGCTGTTAAAATATTACACAAAACACCATGATAAATGAACATTAATCAGCAGGACTACCTCCGCTGCTTCCCCCTCCACTGGTGCCTGTGTGTTTGGTGCTAACACTGTGCCCCGGGACCCTCTGCTGGCCTTTGCTCTGGCCACGAGAGGTGGAATTTGGCTTGGAAATGGTAGTGAGCTCCTGTTCGATGGAGCACAGGTCGGCCATCAGGGCATCCAGGTCCACTGTGTCTCCTTGGTTCAGTGCCTCTGCATAGAGCAAAGGATGCAGAATGATCAGACAGCAAGTTTGGGGAGAAGGAGGAGGGGGTGTAATGAATACATTTTTCTGGTCAGCGCTCACCATTTATGTTATACATTGAGAAGCGGTAGGAGAAGTTGGCCATGTTTGTCTCTTGCCTGAGAGGAGGCTTCTGCAGTGTCTTCTGTGGCCTGCCATCATCCAGACTCTGAGACACATGGAGAAGCAAAATCTCACATACATTCTGACATTATAGTCAATGCACAGCATCTAAATGGCCATGTCTATCTGCTAAAATCCTCGGTCACACAGACACATGCAGACCTGCACAAATACATAATACAAAGTGGTGGTGGGAGGGGAGTTGCTAGGATACAGTAAAGGGAGACAGGATTAGCAGTGTTAAGGTTGCTATGGATACAGCCTCTTCCCTTTTGCCTGCTCCTCTACCTGTGTGAGTCTTTGACAGTGTAACCAACCATCCTTTTCATGTGTGTGTTAACCTGTGTGAGCTTGTCCAGCTCTCCCAGCCAGGCTCCAAACATCTTGTCCAGGTCCTGGTCCTCCTTATCACTGTCCTCCTCTGCTCCATGGTCCAACTCATCATCGGATACCTGCTCCATCTACACACAGACACAAATAAAGGAAAGTATATTAGAAACTGTCAGATGATTCCACATGGGTACACAAAGTCACACGGTATCAGATCACACCTACATAGCAGGCATGATCTAAAAGAGGAGGAAAAAACCTTCAGCTCAGCTCATGCCAACCTTACTGCCTGTTACTATGGCAACCACTCACAGACCCCTAGCAGGCACCCTGTGCAGTGTAATCAGTGGTATGCCCTGTAATGTGTAGTGTGCTGTTCACCACTGACACACCCCTCTACCTCCCGAGTAAGGATCCAAGAAAGAGGGATGCTGGTGGAAGGAGGGTGAAGTGGAAGCCCAACTAATGTTAGTGGATCACTGAACCAGTGGTAGAGACGATATCATTCAAACCACTCAGAACAACACAAGCTGGTGGTGTTAATGGCTATGCAGACAAGTGTGAGTGAATGAATGAATAGCAAGCTGGTCAAAGTTAATAACAGAGCTCCCTCTACTGGACACAGAGGGAATGAGAAAATGTCTGGTAACATACAAGTGAAATCCCCAACCTTTCTCATTGCATCCGACAGACAAAACACTAAATAAAACCTGGCTCCATAGCACAATATGAAGCCAGTGAAGTACGGAATACAATAAAATGGCTCCATAGTACAATATCTAACCATATGTTTCTAGCTCAGCCAGGTAGTCAAGCTGCTTTGTCTCATACTGCTCAGCCTGGAGAATGAATAAGCACCCACACATGCTGATGCCTAATCTGTGTCAAGTAGAAGGAAGGCATGGTCAAGTAGGTAATACCAAGGATGTTTTCAAGGGTTTGTCAAGCCCTCCTGTTATCCACACTGTTTGTCAAACCCATATTAACACATCTTATGACCCCTGCTCTTTGGATTCAGTTAAATGTGTACATGTGGCTTAATGTGCATATGCATGTTTTGTGTATCTAAGCCTTTACGGTCATACTGAATGCTTGAGAAGTAATCAGAAAGACATGGCGTGTGTTTGAAGGTGATAAAATCAGGCAATAAGCATTTAATAAAGCAAACACAATTATGATAGCAACACCATTGAATATCGGTCAACTGATAACACACACACACACACAAAGACAGAGCAGTTGAGGGATTTTTGTTGAACATCAGAAGTGGTCACATTCCAGAGAGCACAAGTGTTCTGCTCCTTAAAGCCGCTGTATGTGCTGCATGTACAAATATACTCCCACAACAGCTCCAACTTCCCATCCCATCTAAGCTGTTGTGTGCATATTACAGTGTTGATGATAGACCGTTTCCTGCTTTGGCACACATATCAAACACATGAGGAGCTTGTCAGCTTGTCTCAGTATGCAAACAAAAACAAGTCAACCAAATGCATGTGTGTGAAATTACATCTGTGTATTCATGACGGCCAGGATTTGCAGAATTCCTGATTTCCCTCATGGCCAGTTTCTTGTCAGGACACTCCAGCTGTCCTTTGATTTATCTGTGCCACTTATTGGGGACAGGAGGGACTTGTGGGTGGAAGTAGGAGTTCAGTGCTGACAGTGATATCCAGACACCTAAACCCTTACACCCACACGCTACATCCCTGAGGATGACCCAGTGGTTTACCAGAAACAGTTTGGCCTCATTTAAATTGCAGGGTACCATACTACCACCAAAGAACATAACCATTTGTCTACTTGGCTAGCCTCAAATGTGGCTCCATATGGGGCCCTTTGGCCACACACGTTTGCATCAGGGAATCCCTGCTGTACAGCACGACATAGTAGCTGGCTGGAGACAGAAGAAACAGCTAAAATCCAACGAGCTTGTGTTGTGTTTGCCAATATCCTCTAAGGTGTTTTCACATGTAATTACACAAGCAAGAAATGACTCACACAGCTGTGTCTAAACAGCCTGGGATCCTTCACATAGGCGCAAACTTAACAACAAAAAATCCAAGTGGAAAAAAAACTGACTAAAAAAAAAAAATAACGCACATGCACAAAAAGAAAACAATGCTTTGAAAATAGCTCTGCTGCTTCCATTTTAATGGAATCATAGCCACAGTGCACATGTTGCTGAAGGTTTAAGTGAATTACCACCTGAGGCCCTGCTTTTAAGCTTATGAAGCATGACCTAGGAAAGACACAGGGACAGGAGAGAGCTGTGTGCACACACTAATGTACCCTTACAGACCCCATCGCAAACCAAACACCAGCCTTGGCCTTTTCCCCTCCTGATACGACACGGCCCCTCTGTTGTCTGAGCATGGCCAGAACCCATCTGCCTCTTGTGACTGCTGGTTGGCTCAGAAGTCTAGGGTGAAGGACTAAAGATCCAAAGGTTTTCCCGGTGGAGTCTCCCTCTGCAATTTCTGCAGACATATAAACACTCACAGTTCCTGCGGATGCTGCACTGATGGCAAAGGGAAATGTGGAGTGAAGGGATATAAAAAAGTAGGTTCTGGAGAAACAAATCTCTTGAAATCTAAGAAGTACATCAAGCATCCGGTGCAGAGAAGGATGAAGAAGTAGAGGAGGATAAGGACGTCTATCTATAGACATTCATATCAGAGTGCCAGGAGGATTGGAAAAGGGAGCAGTATGAAGATGAAATGGAGTACAAAGAGAAGAACAGTGTCTGGAATACTGCTCCATAGTTTCTACTCCTAACAAGTGTTACCTGACTAAATAATGACACTTTCTAGACTCCAAGTTTCAAGCTAGAAACTTTCTGTCTCAGGCCTAAATCATGCAAACTGATTACAGAGTAGGTTAATGAGTAAGAAGGTCCACATCTGTATTGGTTCACAAGTGAACTCACTCACTTCTTGTCACAATTTAGGTCACACCACTCAGAATGACTGCCACTGCCTTTGGTTTAGTTACAGTAGTTAGGCTAATATGTCCTCAGCATTTGATCTATCCTAAATACTTTGGACCAATTCCAGTTCCCATGCCAGTGTTTATTTAGGTAAGGGCAATGGCCAGCATTTAAAGCCATCAGAAGACAAGGAGACTGTACAAGTTCCATAAAGAAAAGAGCCCAGTGACGGACCTGGAACCTCATTTTCCACCTTAAGATAGAGATGAGAAAGAGAGAGAGACCAGCGTGCCAGATAGAAAGTTGTCTAAGTGTTTGGGCGTGACAAAGGAGATTGCAAAATGACATCAGAGGTCAGATCAGGATTCCAGGGCTGGCTCCTTCTTAATTCACTTTGCATGATAGGGGAACAGTGCTTTTCATTTGGTTCACATTAAACTGCATCTTGGACAAACAACTTTTATTACGTACTAGCACTATAACGTACTAGAACAGAACATTTAAGAACAAGACCTAAAGGTTGGGGCAGACTATCAGTATTGTTATCCACTCACTTTCCAGTCAGAACAACAGTGGAGGAATAAGGCATTTACCACTAGGTTAAAATACATCAAAACAGAAACACTGTGCAAGCTAGAAAGCTTCAGTTGATAAGAAAAGCTAATTTAATCATGTTGTAGAGACAAAGTTATTTACCACTTTTGCTGTTCACATTCAAATGCTGAATTGCTCCTAGCATTTGAGTTACAATTAAATCCTTTCATACTTCAATCACACAGGAAATAGGAAGGCTGGGATGTGGAACATGACCATAGCTATGTAAATACTACTGTGGCCAGACACTCCTACTGTGATGACGAATGTTTCCACCAAGCACTTCTAAATAGACTATTTCATATTCCACCTAGAAGTATTGTGTCTGTGCGTGTTAGTGTTGACATGCAGTGAGGATTGGGGAGATTAATGAAACCAGACTTCAATACTTCGACTCGTATTATCTCCACCATGAAAAACAGTGAAATGCACACAATGTTGTCCGCGTCTCTCAAATTAGCCTTACAGAAATAACTTTATGGAAATGTCTGCCACCACCTCCCTCTACAAAGACTCTCAATAATTAAGCCAAAACTGAGAAGAATTGACTGGGCTAGAAACCAGCGAGACAATTAGAGAAACTCAGGGAACTTATAGGAGCATGAATACAGTGCCATAATGCAGCAAATAGATGGTGGGAATTTTGAAGCATTTAGCAGGATACAACCTCCCACAGTGACAAGGGTCTTCAGCGCATCAACATTAATGTCATCAATTCAAATAAACAAACTAAAGGGAAATCAATGCTTTTTTATATAACATTTTAACATATGGTACTACTCCAGGGTTGGCTTTTAACCATAAAAACATAAATAACTTTTGAATATTATAAGGTCAACTCTTCATGGTATAGGTGTTTCCCTGTTTGAGAGATAGGACCAAAAATAAATCTACCATCTGCTACACATAAATTCTCCTGTTCTCTCCTCCTCACCTCTGTTCCTTCTCGCTCTCTCATGTGAGCCCATCATCTGGCTTCCTGCCAGACTGTAATTCACCTCTAGCACATATATGTGTCCAAGCTATAAAACGTCCTGAAATGTCAAGTGCCAAAATATCATAATGACATTCTATGTCATGATGAAGCGGTTTAAGGCCAATACACACTTCAGAGTGCGCCTCGTGATCTCATGTGTGGCTAGACAGTCAAAAGAAGGCATCTGTCAGGAATAAACAAAGCTTTTATTGCAGCTCTCAAACACTTGGTTTCTCTGCCTGAGAGACTTAAAACAGATACGATCTCACTGTAAATGTGCAAGCTTGTAATAACGGTTATTTCCAGGCTCATGTTTTTAGTGCAGACTGTGGTTGCTTGCTCATTTCCTTTCTTACGTTTTTTTTTTTCCCGGTCAGCTCCCTCCATGTACAGTCTTTACACCAGGAGAGGAGCAATTGAGGCCAGAAATTTATGTCACTGTGTCACATGGACAAATGCGAGTTAAAAGCAGAAAGAGGAATTTAACCAACAGCTGTAGCAGTGCCGGTAAAAGAACTCTTTGAACAAGGGAGCGCCTAGTCGGCTACAGCCCAAAGTCCAACAGGGTGTGGTTGGCTTGTTAACATCAGCCAACCTGTGCTGGCCACTGGCATGTGACGCTGAGAATGATG